ACGAGTATGGGGGCCTTACTTTACATCTCAGAAATCCAGGTCAGTAAACCAGCAGTGGCAGAAACAGGGCTGTTTGCCACTACTGCAGCTTTTCTGTTAAACACATCTGCTCAGGCTTCCTCTGAAAAGCACTCTCTGGACTAGCAGGAGCTTTCACTGGTGAACCCTGATCCACTCCCCTTGCCATGCTGCCCTTGCAGACATGTCCCTCAATTTCCAATTAAGCCAAGCAACAACTCAAAAATCAGAAGGAAGATGCAAAATCATTATGCTAAGTATTTCCACATGGCACTTCTCCTCAAAGCTGAGAAAAAGCAGTACTGTCAGGGTTGCACTTGATCCTGTTGCATGTTGCTGTGTGTCATTCCACGCATGGTGTGGGGCTTGCACACAGCCTGGCTTCAGGCTTGTCAGTCCAGTACCATAGGCTGGGAGGTGTCCCTGTGCCTTGGGAAAAAGCAGTGAGACTGAAAAGATCGATTGGTCTTGGATTAGGCGGGTGTAACTGTATGCACCCTTCCTGCAGGAGATCTGGATGTGATATTTAGTGCTTGCCGGTGGTAGAGGAGTGGTCCTGAGCAGAAACTGGAGGCTGATCTCATCACTATTGACATCACAATTTACTTTGATGAAGCTGCATCTGATCTGCACAAGCAAGTGTTGGAAGTAAGTGGACGTCAGCACAGTTAAACCAGAGCATAGCTGCTGCAAGTAAATCAGATTCAAAGTTAATAATTTGATTTCTAGGAGACAGAGAAAAACCAGAGGGCTAATAATGTGTGAACCTAATAACTCTGTGTACTGGGACTCAGCATTTCCATCTGTTATCACTAGCTCCGATCTCAGCACAAGACGCAGAAACAGCAATTGTCCAATGAGGATGAGAACACAGGCATGGAAAGAGACAGTAGAAGACTGATGCACATGGCCACCTATGTGGCAGAGGGTAGGATCAAAGCCAGTGAGGCTTTATGTGCTGAAAATGCTGTAGAAAAGGTGTCGATATGGCAATCGGTAAGGTCCTTTGGAATGACTGCAAACTTTCCAGGTGGTTTTTAGATTTGTATTTCATTAATTCTCAAAAAAAAAAAAAAAAGAAAGAAAAAAGAAAGCAGCATGCTGTTCTAAGATAACCTACAATAACACTAAGGCTAACAGGCCTGACCATTATTTTGCAACTTATTTCTACAATCTGTTGAGGTCAGATAAGGCAGGTTTCTGGTACTTGTCGGAAACTGCTATAAATAAAAGACTAATAGGCACTGAAGTAGATAGCAGATATGTCATGCTAGGTAAAACATGATGAACTGAAGTGAAACTTCACCTTCCTTAACAGTGGATGTGCACGAGGATAAAGACTAGCAAGTATTTATTTCCTATCATCAGAAAATCCTTGCAGCAGCTCATTTTCTTTGAGAAGACTGGTCTCAGAAAGCAGCCTATTTTTTTTTTTACATTTATTGCAGAAGAAGTCCTCTGTAGTTGTCTAGGCAAGGTCAGCTGCTCATGCGCTGCAATCAATAATCTCTTCTTAAGTGTACACTGCTCAGCTCTCATGATGGGAGTTTATGGTTGCACTACATCTTTATTCTGAATGAATACTACCTTTACCGCTACTGAGCTAGGATTTAGCTATTTATTAAAGCCTGACCCTCCAGCTTTAAGAACATTTTATCAGATCACCAGGAACTTCACTGAATTGTCAGCTCAGGATCTGTCTGGAAATGCTGAGCAATGGGGGAACATGAGGGTTCATAAAACAATCTTATTTTACTTTTGGAGTTTCTTCCATAGAACGCTGGTTCAGAGGAGGACTTGGCTCCAAATGTCCATCTTTGTTTCACCTGTGGAGATGCTGGTGACAAACAGAAGTATTGGTTAGCTTCAGTAAAGGTTGAGAAGTATTTGTCTCATTCCCCAGTGAAATTCCACATGTGCACAAGGCAAAGGGCCTTGCAGAGCTGGTTGCAGCCATTAATCCTGGTGCAGCCAACGACTTCCCTAGTGGCCATCCCCCAGCATGAGCTGCCAAGGTGCCTGGGATGAGCTCTATAAATTACACATTGTATATCTCCTTATTAAATAAATGTAAAAATTAAGGTCTTGTTTATTAATGTGGATCGCAGAATAGACTCTTTAGCTTAAGTGTGAGACAGGTAGGTAGCTTTTTTATTTAGCAATGCTGCCACACTAATTTTGACATTTGCAAATGTCAACATCCCAGTTACAGACTACAACAAATTGCTCAAAAATCATCTTGTTCTTTTAAAAGAATCCTTTGCACTACTGCATAAACCATCACCATACATGATGGTTAGTTTCATTAAAAATTTTGCAAGTCTGTTTTTGTACTGAATATGCCTCATAGCACAACTTAGAGCTGCCTTTGGCTTTTTGCCTAAATGTAAGCCAAAGAATCCAGTTTGCCCTGCAATTATCCTAACCTTTCCCAGGTATGCATGGCTAGCAGCGACTCCCAGTCCCCGAACAACTCCCTTTGTCCAGAGTGACTTAGAAATCCCCTTGATTCAGAAAACTAAGGCTCACAAGTGCTTCCATGGTGGGAGGTCTTGACCGGAAAATGCCAGGACTCCTCATTATTGGAGTAAAGTTTGTTGTTGCAGGTAACTAACAGGACACTCAGGTTTCTCTGTAAAGCTGTGTCATGTTCCTTTTCCCATATGCAATGTAAGGCAAGTAACGCTTCCCTATACCACGTAACTGCTGTAGATGGGACACTTCAGTGCTGCGTTTGCTGCTGGGTTTGAAAGGCAGCTGAGGGCTAATGGTGGGTGATTCCTGGTTTGCAGTGCTCAGCTTCAGGCATCCTGCTCCACCACAGGAGCCTGGGGAAGGGTGACTGCTTAGCACAGCTGGCAGTCTGCTGCTGGGAGAGTGAAGGATCCCTGGCTAGAGACTGTCTTCAGTGCCCTGACCCTCATCTGTTATCTGTGATAGTCCAATGCTCCTTTATCTCACAACAGCTTAATTAACTGATTAATCTTTCAAAGAATTGTGATAGTCTTAGAAAAAAGACATCAGGCAAAGTATCTGTTACTAATTCCTTCACTATTGACAGTAACATTGTTATGAACTCCCAAGAACTGTCCAGGATTTTAAAACTTTGTTTAATAAGAACACTGCAAGAATTTTAGGCTTTTAACAAAAGAGTTATATGAAATTCTCACCTGTTCCTCACGTAACCATCCCTGGCACCTGTGGAGCGGAAATCCACACCTTCAGCATCACTCAGGGTCCCGGGCCAAGTCCTGTGCTGGCTGATGCTCCATGGGCCAGGTGCCCTGGTGAGCTGCAAGCCGGGACAGGGTGTGCTGCTCACCATCCCAGTTGTGAATGTATTATGTCTTTGTTTAATTAGAATTAGTGCACTGAATTTAGAGGTTTAGAGTACACACAGGGAAAAGCCTACTGTCACTTCCTTGGGTTTTGACTGCAGGAGTGTGTGTTGCAGCACATGACTCCCAGCATGTTGCTTTTGTGGCAGCTTTGTAAGCTGTGCCTCTAGGACAACTGTCATACCAGATAATGAAAATTAGGAAATGGTCATTTTCTAAACAATAATGTTTATCTTTTGCCTTCCCCCTCCCTAGTTAATCTCCATGTAGATAGTTACCATCTCCTACCAGGCAAAATCAGAAACGCCTCCACATCACAGCAGAAATTTATACAAATCCCACTGTAGAGTGCACTGGTACGTTTACTGCTGGCTGCCAGGTAACAGCACTAGTAAATCATCGTGTATCTTCATTCATGAGATTTACTGAGTTCCCTGAACTACCTGGCAGCAAAAGGCAGAACTTCACAGATAATCATGGAGAGCCCTTAACAGAGTTTGTAGCTTTATCTGTAATTGTGAGCTGGCACAATGCAGAGCACCAAAGTGGCACACAGGCACACCCCTGCTCAGGGATGAGAAAGCAGGAATAGACTGAAGTGGTGATCAGGAGGAGTAACAGCAGTAGGAGTGTCATTGTGAAGGTGAAAGCTGAGTGAAAATCCTTCTTCTCTGGAAGGATAATCGAATGTTAATATAAGGCAATGGGATATGGATTGGGGGCGGGGTGACAGGAATTAGGTCTTGCACTGGGGAATAAACCAGAAGTAAGTGCACAGCAGCACAGTCACCATATAGACTGGTAGCATCTCAAGCTACATGGGAGAATTTCCATGGATTTAGGTACTGAGGTACCATGCCACTGGGGCTGGTGTTTTGACTCAGCCTCTGCACACAGCCCAGGTTAAAGCATTAGGGGGGTCTGGGTTTAACCATCACAATGCTTAAACACCATGTTGGAGAGCACTTGAAGGGAATAAAGAAACGATAAATAGCATCTGAAGACCAGGCAGCTTTGATACGGCTGGGAGGAAGGTGATCCTCCCGATTACGTTTACGCTCTGTTGTCTCGATTACGGATTTATTCGGGTGGTGTCACACTGAGACTGACCATCCTGCTGTTCCGATATCACTAAATCAAGGTGCGGACTGTGGGGGAGCAAGCAGGGCTGCAGCTCCTGGAAACCCCTCAGTGTACAGAAGGCTTCCCCACCATTCGAAGCCAACAGGCCCCCGAGCCGCAGAAGCGGTGTCCCTCAGTGCAACACCACTTCAGTCATCTGGAGCTGCACACCGCGGGCCCGACCGCCCCGCACACGCAGACCCCCTCGGGCAAAGCCGGGGGTAGCCTGCGACAGGCTGGCTGACTGGGGAGAGCTTGCGGGCACAGAGCAACCCGCCGAGGGAAAATGGACGCCGAGGGGTCGCCCCAGCCCCCACCCAACCTCAAGGCCCCCGCCAACCCCGCAGCCAGCCCTTTCCCTGCCGGCCCTCCCCCGGACGGCGGTGGGACTACGAGTCCCAGCGCGCCCCGGGCCGGGGGCGGAGCGGGGCTTTGTGCGGGCCGTGCCGGCCGTGGGGCGGCATGAGGGGGTGCCGTCGCCGAGCCGCAGCCGCAGCCGTAGCGAACCCGCCCCGGGGGGAGGGCGAGGGCGGCGAGCCATGACGGGCGGCAGCGCGGCGTTTCGCCGTCGGTGCTAGAGGGCGACCGCGGGGCGCGGAGCCCGCCTGGCTCGGCGGCGCGGAGCGCGGAGGTAGCGCGGAGGGGCCGCCGCCGCTGCCGCCGCCGCCATGGGCAACGCGGGGAGCGTGGACTCTCAGCAGACGGAGTTCAGGGCGCACAGCGTACCTCTCAAGCTGCCCATGCCCGAGCCCGGTGAGCTGGAGGAGCGCTTCGCAGTGGTCCTGGTGAGTGCCGGTCCCATTGTCTGTGGGGAGCGGGTCGCGCCGCCTGGGAGAGGGCGCCGCATTCTGCCGCCCGCCCGTGGGCCTCCACGGAGGGGCTGATGAAGAGTAGGGGGCCCCGCGCCTGGCCCGGGTCCGTGAGCGGGGTGCGGCTGCTGCGTGGTTGGGAGCCGGGGAAAAGTTGGAGCCTGAGACGGGAACTGCCCCGCCGCGCTCTCCCCTCGGCGGCGCGGCCGCCCAATCTCCGCCGGGGCCAGTGGCACAGGTGGGCTCTGCGGGACGGTGTCTCCCGCATCCCGCGGCCCAGCCGGAGGCGGCGGGACGGGGCCGGGGCCGCGGCGGAGGGGGGCGGGAGGGCAGCGGAGCGGGGCCAGGCGTGTGTGCCGGCTACGGCTCTTTGTCTCTGGAGCCCCCGAAGAGCCGCCTTCCCCCGAGCCGAGGCGGTTCCCGCACGCCCGGGTCTGCCCCTCCTCGCGGGCGGCGAACCTGTGAGGAACCGGCGAGAGAGCAAAGCCCGCGGCAAGTTGTGGCGGTGTCGGCCCGGACCGTCGGCGGAGAGCAGCGGGCGGACAGATGCGGAGCCCGTGGTGCGGCCTCGCCTCGGCATGGCCTTTTCCAGGAGCCCGGGCTGTGAGGAGCCCGCGCCCCCCGGCCGGCTGTGGGGCGATGGGTCCCGTGGACACACTGGTCCTGCTGCCCCCAAGTCCCCAGCACGTGTGTGAGGTTCACCGGCGCTGGGGCTGGGATGCAGACGGTCCTGTCGTGCTCTGGTCTTCATTCCATTCCTTTCCCTTCTCCTGAGCAGCTCGACGGACTCGGTGTTTAAGATCACAGCCACAGGAGACGTTACCAGGCAAAGACAGTGGTTCCATTGGTGTTGCATGGGAGTGTTTTGGGCAAACGTCCTGTTTTCTAGGTATCTAAGTGTTGTGAGTAGATTATCGCGACCCATCTGTTTTTCTATGTGTTTCTTACTTCTGACCAACGTTTATATGAAAAACAGAAGCTAGGTCAGGAGAGCAAATAAAACCCATGTGCATGCCGTGCCCTGCGTTGCCTCTAATGCCATGTGAAACCCAGCAAGGCGAGCTGTTGCAAGAGTAATTCCCGTATCAGATACTGGAGCAACCCCCCTGGTATTTTAAATACTCCTGGTGCTGAGTGAGGATTCACAAACTGGTGTGTGTTGGGGATTATTTCTGGTTAGACCCAATTAGATTATCATGTCTAAGAAAAGAATAAGCCTATTCAGTCAGGAACCCCCACTGATGAGCCAAATGGTGAGTGAGATGTTACGATTATTAGGCGCAGTGGAAAAAGCCTGATCCTGCCTTGCTCTCGTGGGGGAAACCTGTGATAGTCTTGCAGGTGGAAGATGCCCATACAAGCAGTGCCATGGCTCAGAATCAAGTTTTGATTCATCTAAGCCTACCAAAAGGGTGCTGGCTTAATCTGTGTGCATGGTCTGTGGGAGAAAATTAGTGGTTTTGAGTTAGGACCGATTGATGAGATCAGTACAAGGAAGAGACATCATTTGGGAAAGCACAGTGCATTAGATATGTATAACGTAAATATGGGAGATAACAGGATCATGTCTGTAATTTCTTGAGGTACTTGAGTGGATGGCATCTGTTTTTAGAAGATGGATTTAAATGAAGGGTCAGAGGATGAATGCTGTAGCTTTGCTGGAGGGGGAGGCAGGCCAGGCAGATGCATGCCTGTACCAATGGGGTGTTGGATGCTGTACTCCCATCCGGAGGAGCTGTGAGATGGGGCCGAAACACTACTGCTGGAACAGCCCAGAATTGCCTTCAGCCTGTTCTTGAAGCCAGCTGAGGATGGCTGGGGTTTGTTGCAGCTTCCAGGAAATATCTGACCAGTTTATGAAAGAATGAACTCCTAGGCTATTATTACTTTGTTTTCTCTGTGGCTCTGAGGGGAGCATGACTGTGCCACTGGTCAAACCCCAAAATGGGGTAGGCAGTGGAAGAGTAGGGATTAATGAGAAAGGAATGATGGTCGGGGAAAAAGATGAGGAATATTTTCTGCAGGGAGAAACAATTAGTCAGGAAATGAGAGTATGAAGAAGATGTTGAAGGTTGTAGGACTAAATCTTACCTTCTTTGCATGCTGCCTTAAGAAATTAGCCTGGCACAGGCATTGCTTATGTGCTTGGAGAGCCCTGTTGAGGTCCTGAAAGGCTTTGCTGACAGTAGCAATTTTTGTACCACTAATGAAGTTTTCAAGACTGTTCTTGACATTGATGATCATGCAGCTTCGTTGAGGTGCAGCTGCATGCAGGTACAGTCATCATGTAGAATGGTTTGTTTCTATGTGTAAAGAGTGGAGCTATGCGGGAAAGGTTCCTCTTGTGCAGCATCACAAAACTGTTTTCAGGTTTTACTCTTTTCTCCTTGTGTAGAACCAGCACAGTGAGCCATAGCCCTCTTAAACACATCCATGTCTGTGAGGGGAGCACAGGTTGGCCATGTTTTTACAGCAGATGCCATGACAATTGACTTTTCTTTTTTTCACTTTGAACATACTCTCCTGATCTGCAGGATCTCTGTGGTCCCTTCAGCGAAGGGGTGGATGAGCAGCAGGAGGTGCTGCATTTGTGTGCTAGCTTGCATTTGCTGGGATGTTAGCAGACTTAGTCTTGAGGAAGGTCTCTGGTGAAGTAGCTTGTCCGCTTCAAACATACATAGTCACCTTACTGCCTCCTTGGTTAGCCTCGCTCTTTGAGGTTTGAGGTGCATAAATTGCAGGAGATGATGGGAAGTGCTCCAGGTCACACTTTTTTGGTGAAGCTCTCAAATCTGACTGTGCTAATACACTCCTCCAGTCTGTAGTGGTGCTATTGGCATTACTGAGGATGCACTGAACTTGTGTATGGCAGTGCCCAACCGGGCTTTAAGGGCAGCAGTGCCAGGTCTGGCTGTGTCACACCTCTTGGCCTTCTGGACAGATGACATAAGAGGATTTTCCCTGTGGATTTGTGTCTCCTGGTACTAGTTTTGGGACTGGTGCAGTGAATGTGCTGCCCTGGCTTGTTTGTTGTGTTGAGATTTGTGCTTGTCTCTGCTAGTGAGGAGCAGGGTCTGTCTGTGTGTTTCAGGAAGACATTGTATTTGATGGGATGTACTTCAAGGTGAAAATTTTTGGGGATAACCCAAGAGAGATCCAGGTTTCTGCCTGTAAGCCAAGTGTTTCTTCCATCCTCTCAAACTGATGAAAAGTCTCCTCTTTTGGTAGAACGTGTGAAACAACTCCCTTAAAGTCTATGTGAGAGTGTGAAGTTCAGGAAAGAGACGGCTTGTTATTGCCACCAAGTTCCCAATTTGCCCAGGAGGGGTGCTGGATAAGCTGAGAGTAGAATCCCAGCTGTAGCACTGACTTTGAGCTTGCCAGCACTCGGGTTCGAGCCTGCAGGAACCTCCCACCATTGCCCCTTCCCCAGCATGCTTGCTTTTCCTTCTCAGCTGTGTTGGATTCTTTTCCAGGCTTTACGTAGGGACACATGGGGGAAGAATGCGTAAATCATGAATTCTGGTAACCAACCCTGGTTTATTACATAGGGAACCATTGCTCAGCATGCATGAGCGCCATTGCAAACCAAGTGTGCCAAATGTGTCTGTAGACATTATGGCACCCATGCAGGGAGTCATGTGTTTGGAGATGCGGGGGTAAAGCGCAGGCTTCCAGCTCCTGCAGCAGGGTGGTCTTTCTCTGAACTGGTAACAGGGTTGCACGTTTGCAAATGACACGTGGTTTGGAGGAAGCAGCCAGGAAAGAGTTGGCAGGGTAAACTGTTGCCTAATGAGCTGTGATTGACATAATTTGACTGCCGGATTACAAATCTGCAGTGAAGTTAACAGGAAATATCCTCCTACCCCCACCAAGTGCTGTTTTATTTTACAAAGGAGTCTTCTGTGCCCGGTCCTGGAGGATGGAGAGAGGCATCTGAAGTGTGAGGAGAATGTGGAGGAAAGAGGTGTTTCTGTTGCCCTGCTCCCAGCTCTGCTGTGCTCTGTCCTCAGTTTGACATAATGGTACCTACTTAGAGGCAGGACATCATCTCTGCTTCTGTTGCATTCACATAAGGCTTTGCTCAGAGGAGCTTCTTTGTTTCACTAGAATTTCCTTCTTCGTTGTAGATTTTGTCTGAGCATCATTTTCCATACCAGTCAAGGAAGTTTTAGTGTCTATTGCTGAAGAATTTGAAAGCTCACTGTGAAAACTCTGTAACATTTTCCAGCTGTTTTCCATTCGTCTTCCTAATCGTCTATCAAATACATTATGCATTGTTTTATAATATAGTATGGTTTAGAGTCTGCAAATCATTAAAGAGCATGACATGGCCGCAGGAGATATCTGTGAGGTAGTATTGGTTCCCTTGCTTCAGTGGGGATGCTGGAGCACTGGATTCCTTATTGTAATTCCTAAATTTAACAGAGCTCTCCTGGAATGAATTTCAGTTGAGATCCTTCACTCTCCTGTCAGGGTAACTTGAATTAGTTTTGTGGAATTTTAAAGCAATGCTATGGAAGTTGGGAGACACTAAAATTAGATTTAGGAGCAATCTTCAGGAGAAGGGGGTTTCTAAAATTCAGATATTGAAAAGACCTGTTGTGTTTTCTTGTTCAGGCTTCATCTCTGACAGTCTCTACCACTGGGCTCTTTCCTCAAGGTATTATTTAAATGATTCAATCAGTGACACCCTTTGCTTGAGAAACAATCTAATACAGCACATTGTTTTGTGTATATATATTTCTAAAGAGTTAAACTTAGAGAAGTATTACTTGGTGGTGACCTATCTGTCAAGCTGCTTTGTAAATCAGTAGATGGCACTTTTAAGTTTTTCCACCTACCATCACAGGAGAATATTTTTGTCAAACGGTTTTTTTTTCTGAGTGGAATATGAGGGTACTGTAGTGGGTATTTAGCTACTAGCAAGTTAGTCACATTCCTAAAATTAATTTCAGATCCTGGAAACCTGGAAG